CAGAGATGCTACATTTTTTGAAAGTGATTTTCCCATGAAAAATGCGCCTAGCACGTCTAGTCATGAACCTATAATTCCCCATGAGCAATTTATTCTGATAGAACATTCTGAGGAACCTCATATGCATAATCCTAAGGAGGATGACATTGTAGTCACTCAAAAGAGTAAGAGACAATGGACTGCAAAGTCTTTTGGTGATGACTACATTGTGTACCTTGTGGATGACATACCAAGAATCATTGAAGAGGCATATTTCTATCCTGATGCTGACTTATGGAAGGAAGTAGTATGGAGTGAGATGGGTTCAATTATGTCTAATGGAACTTAGGAAATTGTTAAACGTCCTTATGGATGTAAACCAATAGGATGCAAATGAGTGTTCAAGAAAAAGCTTAGGCCTAATGGTACAATTAAGAGGTATAAGGCAAGGCTCGTGGCCAAGGATTATACCTAGAAAGAAGGTGAAGATTTCTTTGATACTTATTCACTTGTTGCTCGATTGACCACAATTCGAGTGTTACTTTCTCTGGCTACCTCTCATGGTCTTATCATTCATCAGATGGATGTAAAGACGATTTTCCTAAATGGAGAGTTAGAGGAGGAGATCTATATGGATCAGTCAGATGGATTTGTAGCAAATGGTCAAGAGGGTATGGTGTGTAAGTTATTGAAGTCCTTATATGGCTTGAAACAAGCTCCTAAGCAATGGCATGAGAAGTTTGATAGAACTTTGACATATGCCAGCTTTGTTGTAAATGAAGCTAATACATGTGTGTACTATCGATATGGTTGGGGCGAAGGAGTGATCTTGTGTTTATATGTTGATGACATATTGATCTTTGGAACCAGCCTTAATGTGATTAAGGAGGTTAAAGGCCTATTGTCTAATAATTTTGAGATGAAAGACTTGGGAGAAGCTGATGTTATTCTTAATGTTAAGCTGTTAAGAGAAGGCAATGTTGGGTTTACATTTTTACAATGCCACTATGTGGAAAAGGTATTGAGTTGCTTTGGGTTCAGTGACTGTCAACATGCTCCTACGTCTTATGACCCTAGTGTGCTATTAGGGAAAAATCAAAGAATAGCAAGGGATTAATTAAGATACTCCTAAATTATTGGTTCGCTTATGTATCTGGCTAGCACTATGAGGCCTGATATCTCGTTTGCTGTGAGCAAACTAAGCCGATTTGTATCAAATCCGAGAGATAATCATTGGCATGCTCTTGAGAGGGTACTACGCTATCTCAAAGGTACTATGAGCTATGGCATTCACTATACCAGGTACCCAAAGGTACTAGAGGGTTTTTGTGATGCTAACTGGATATTTGATACTGATGAGCTTTATGCCACAAGCGGATATGTGTTCTTGCTTGGAGGTGGCGTTGTTTCCTAGAAGTCTTACAAGCAGACCATTTTAACGAAGTCAACTATAGAAGCAGAACTCACAGCATTAGACACAACTGGCGCTGAGGCCAAGTGGCTTCGTGAACTCTTATGGATTTATCGGTTGTAGAGAAACATATACCGGCTATTTCTATGAACTATGACAACCAAACTGTGATAACTAAGGTAAATAGTTTTAAGGATAACATGAAGTCCACAAGGCATGTTAAGCGGAGATTAAAATCTGTTAGAAATTTGAGAAACTTCAGAGTGATAGTGTTGGACTATGTCCACACATCTAAAAATCTAGCAGATCAATTCACTAAGGAATTATCACATAATGTGATAGATAGTGCATCGAGTGAAATGGCCTTGAGACCCACATGAAGTCTATCATGGTGGTAACCTATTCTATGTGATCGGAGATCCCGTGAAGTAGGACGGTGAAATAAGCCACTAGTAGACTGTGAGGAAAGACCCTTAACTTGGCCCATGTCATATGCACGTCTTTCCTTTACTGTAAGGCAGGTTGATTTTTAGTTTAATGTGTTCCAAGTGACTTGGTGAAGCAAAGATATTGTCCTACAAAACATCTTTTGAGGAATACACCTATATGAGTTCGACTACTAGTCACAGTCTATGAGATTTGGGTGATCTCTAGATACTCATCAAAGGCCCAGGAGTATGACTTATATGCTCCAACCAGAGGGGATGTTTTTGGTAACCCAGTATCAGTAAAGAGTTTAGGTGAAACTCATTCACACAAAACTTGCAATTCAAGGCGTAGTCCATTATTTAAGTTGTGGATAGGTGTAGCTTGAAGCTCTAGGCGGATGTTCAACTTAACAGTCTCCGCTGAAAAACACTGGTATATAAACAGTAGTGGGAGAAAGAAAATATCTATACTAGGCTTTTGAGATCTGGTGGAGATTGTTATAATTTATATGGATAAAATTCCCTAAATCCATATGAAGAAATTCTAATAAATCTCAAAGGCCCAATATATGTGTTCTTTAATGGGCTTTATTGTTTAAGTCCATGAGTAGAGGTGGAAGGTACAACGTCAATTAGTACCATATTGCTAGTTGATGTGGAGGTAGTAAGTTCTCCTCTCTATATATATGTACCAATCCTCCTAAGAAAAGACATAACAACAATAGAACTATCATTGGACGTTTCTAGTTTGAAAATAATAAGATAGTTAATTATTGTTTTCTGAAAGGGACCGTGACGCCTAGAAGGGGGGTGAATTAGGCAACTTAAAAGTCTAACTCTAAACTATGGCATCTTTTTCTATTATTAGCAAATCCTATGAAAAAGATAAACTATCTAAATGTGCAACTACGGTTTTGCTAGTATGTTGCTATCTCTACCGCAAAAGAAGTTATGTAAACAATGTAAATGCGGAAGCTAAAGAGTAAGGTAGAGATATGCAAACTCCCGTCGATGACTCTGGTATTTTTACCGAGGTATCGAGAAGCGCGCAAGCTTCTCCCTAGTCCTTATTGGAGCCCCTCGCAAGGAATCCCTCGCAAGGGCCAAGCTCCTGGTCGGGTAACTCTATGGATAGCCTCGAGCCTTCCCCACGCGTAAGTGGGTCTCCGGTGTGCCTTTCGGCAAGTCTTTCTCGGACCGCTCCCCGTCGTCTTCACTATCAAGCTTCCGGTCGAACCGTCGCGTGCCTTGTTTCCTTCGGTACACGGTGGCGGCCACACCACAAACGCGGTTGGTGTGATCTCGCAAGACTACAAACCCCCCCGATGTACAATAATGGTGCGCACAAGCACCGAGTGGTAAGAGGTATACAAACCTCACTAAACACTAGGCCTAAACCTAGAGCAAGCGCATAAGCGGTGGTCTAATCAACCTAAGCACTTCGCAAAGCACCTACGCTAATCACCTAATGAATCACTAAGCACTATACAAGTGGAGATCACTAAAATAGTGTATTAACACCCTGGGTATGTTTCATCAGCTCCACACTACTCAAATTGCTAGTTGAGGGGTCTATTTATAAGCCCCACTGAGAAAGTAGCTGTTGGGGACGAAACCCACTTTTCTGCTACTGACTGGACGCTGTTGTCGTCCTGACCGGACGCGTCCGGTCACTCACAACGGTCACTTGGTCTTTGGCGTGATCAACTGATCGGACACTGATGACGTCCGGTCATATGTCACTAGACGCGTCCGGTCGCAACTGCGCCGCTCTGAAACCTCTCAGGACTTGATCGGACGCCACTGTTCCTGCGTCCGGTCAATCACCCTCCAGCGTCCGGTCAGTTCTGAGCTATTGCCGTGATAGTGAACAGTGTCATCGTCGCGTCCGGTCATGGCTGCTTAGTGTCCGGTCAGTACTGTGGAGCTCGTTTCTTCGTGATCTTGCGTCCGGCTTGGTTCCTATCTTCGTGCTTGTACTTTGCTTGATATCTTGGGTCTTCTCTTGTGCTTCTAGGGTCTTGCTTAAGGTGTTGATCATTGGATCATCATGTCTTCTTCATCCAAGTCATGTCTTACACCCTATTGAACTATAAAACAATCACTTACACATTTATTAGTCTAATTTAGTTGTGTTGGTCATCAAACACCAAAATCCAAAGTAAATGGATCTAGGGTCCATTTTTCTTATATTTTCCACTTCTCACTAGTGCGTTGCCTTCTAAGTTTCTCCGTCCCGATCCTCGGCGCGCATGGAGAGTTGGGAGAGCAGGCCTTCGGGCATCTATGACATCTGCTCGGGTGTACGGACGATCAGGTTTTTGGGGAGCGTCTTCGCGACTGCTCGCTTCTTCTTGGTGACTGCCGACGTCTTCTTTTTTCTCGGATCGTCTACTTCCCGGTGGACGTTTGAGGGACTGCACTGTATATATCTTCCTGCATCGACTGTGGTCCGCAACTTTGAGCAACTCACCATGAATGGGACTAGAGCCACGTGTGCTTTGAGCATGGATCCCTCCATAGGGTACATCTCTATTTTCAAATTGGTTAAATTTAATCTCATTTTCGCTATAATCAGCATGTTGTTTATGAACATATTTGCTACTAATAAGAGTAGTAAAATCACACACGTGCACATATTTGTCATCACAAATTTATTATTATTTTTTCTGGATTAATTTTAACATGAAAATGTCTAAATTTCTAACAACAGATATACGATAAATCGTGGATTTCAAAGAAATTAAATTGGACAAGATCAAACTTCAAAATTCAAATGGAGCTTGAATTCAAGTTTTAAGTACGTTCATCGGATCAGTCGGTGAAGGGCGCAGCCGGAGACACTATGCTATACTGTAAAAACATGGATCTGATTCTTAACAGAAAGAAACATGTGTTCAGTAGGAAACTGTAAAAAGACCGTTCTCGTGGATTCTCTGAAAATTTATTCACTCTCGTGCGAGGCACAGAAAAAAAAAAAGGAAAAGAATGATAGCCCATCAAGACATATCGTCCATTCGTCCCGGCCGAGCTTACCACCCTGTTACCCGCCCGGCCCAGCCCAATACTCGAGAGCCCACCGAACCACCACAATGCAGGGCGATCTGGGCCGTCGGTCCGTCAGATCACGAGCCATCCATCCACCACCGCCGAGAGGGACTCCGAGGGAGGACGGGGGAGAAATGAGCGCGGCGGCGGGCCGGCTGCTGGCGGCGGCGGCGACGGCGGGGGCCGCGGAGGTGCGGGCGTCCATCTTCGGCCACGCGCTGAACCCGACGGGGAAGCGCGCGGCGACGAAGCTCCTGCGGAAGAAGATGGTCGGCGACCAGGTAGCGCAGTGGTACCCCTACGACATCAAGCGCGACGACCTGCTCGTCATGGCGCGCGAGGAGAAGGAGTAAGTGCTCACATCCTCCTCCTCCCCCTCCTCGGCCTCCGCTGGGGGATTGGGCTTGTAGTGATTCGCATGTCTCGCTTGCTTTGCTACGTAATCCCTGTGCCGTTGCCCGTTGGTTGTTCGTGCTCGGTGTGTGTTCGTTGATATGCCTCCGAAGCAGTGTGTCATCTCGCTGACGCCCGGGGATGCATCTGTTGGCTTCAACTACCGACGCAAATTGATGGGCTCACCGACTTGATGTACTAGTCGTTACTTCTTAGTTGTTGCAACCAGGATGCCGTAGTGCAATTCCAGTATGGTGTTTCTAGGTATGGGAATACGGTGCTTTCACCTTCGATGGATATTTTCGCTGGAGGTTTAGATCAATTAGTATCTCTGGCACCTCTGGTGGCTGTCCAATTCATTTTCATTAATCTTTGGTGGTTGTTGATGACTTGATGTTGATCTGGCACGATGTTGTGTTGTGTTATTGTGAAGCAAATGAACGCCCTCAATTGCATGGCTGTTCATATTAAATTCTGATAGCAAACAGGCTAGGGTGAATTTTTGTTGTTAGGGAGCTAGTGATGCTGGATGATAAGTTGGCAGCAGCAAGCTGGGTAGCAGATTCTCAGGGTGTTCGGCTGGTATGTTTTTGGCTTGTTTTAGCTTGTTTCAGCTTGTTCTCTCTCACAGAATACTATTCAATCATCCAAAATCAGCCGAGCTACAGTGCTCCTGTGGCACAAATGCATTTGTTTTTGTCAAAGTTCAAGAAGGCGCTTTCTAGGCGCGGACCCATAGCCTAGCGCCTAGGCTAGCCTAGGCCAGCCTAGGCGTTTCAAGGCGTTTTTCTAGGCGTTTTGCCAATTTAGCACACAATATATATATATATATATATATATATATATATATAGCAGAAAATGCTGAATAAATTAGTTAAATAGAAGCATAGAGTAGCTGAATACAGTATATAAAAGAGAGGGCAGTAGACATACCTTAGTGGCTTACTGGCTTAGGCTCAATAATCAATAGACAGCTTGTTCCTACAGCAAGGATTGACAGCTTGTAAATACTCAATAGACAGCAAGCAGTTCATAAAAAAAATAGAAAATAGCAAGTTGACACTTATCTGAATGATTTCAGCCATCTCCTATCCATGAACAAACCATATCAGCAGCTAGTAATTATAAATTTTAAAGCACAAACAAGTGGACAGGACAGCAATACAAGTGCACAACACAATTCATAAATAAAAGTCTTGTTCAGAGACCACATAGTTCTCACAAAAGAAGAAAAACACAGTCACACAGCAGCAATTCATAAGTTTCAGACATACATGAATGCATCATAAAAGATAAACCATGACATGATAAAAGGCCCCACTACCGTATCATCTTTCTTCTAGAATAGGGTTCCACATAATCATCCTCATCTTCATCAAACTGTTCTTCTTCGGAGTCAAATTCTTCTCCTTCATAAAGCTATCTCACTCTTGCACTTCTACGCAGCTCCAGTTGTTCTTCTGCTCCCACTGCATCTCCAATAACAGACCAAGGTATCCCTGTACCTTCCATCTCATCTTCCTCATCTCTATAGACAACTAATGCACAATCATCTCCATTCTCATGCAGAAAACCTTGAGCTTCAGTTGTATCATTAGACAAGAGAACATCACTGATCTTCTTTGACTTGATCTTTTCTTTCTTATTAATCAGCTTGGAGTTGAATTGAATATGGACCAATTTGTTCAGGCGGGCTGTAGTAAGCCTATTTCTCTTCTTAGCGTGTACCTATAAATTTAAAATAAGAGCATTTTCAGGTCTGCAATTTAATTGTAATGCTGCTGCAATTTTCAGGTAGACAGGTACTAACCCCTTCAAACCCGCTCCAATTTCTTTCACAACCAAAAGAGCTTGATGTCAAAGATAGGATCCTTGTAGCCATCTTCTGTAAAGCTGGTGTTTCAGTTTCATACAGCCGCCACCATGATGCTGAAATAAATGAAAAACACCTCTATTAGTTAGTACCATTTATTGTTAGATGAAAACAGCAAACAACCATGTTGTAATCAAATTTATTGTAAATCCCTCCTTGCATCACCTTGTCAGAGAGTTTGCACTTCACCTTGTCCTCGTTAGCATCAACAAGAACCCCATATTCCCATCCCACATCATCCGAATTCCTTCTCAGGAGATTCGCTCCCTCAGTGTTCGCTAGGTATACATTCAGATCCAGAGCACAGATTAGGCTCTCTAACATTCAGGCATTCAGAGTAGTCATTCAGAGCATTCAGGCATCCAGAGTATTCAGCTTCAGAGCAGGGGAGGGGACTGACCTTGGGGCTGCCGCTTAGGGAGGACCGGAGGACACCGTCGGGGAGGGATGCGCCTGCGGGAGGGGTGCGCCGACGGGAAGACGATACCGGTGGGGAGGAGCTTCTAGGCGGGGAGCAGTGCGACCGGCGGGGAGGCGCTTCCAGGCGGGGAGGAGCTTAGGGACGGGCCACGGAGAGGAGCTTCCAGACGGGGAAGAGCGCGGCCTGCGGATCCACCTGCCCGGCGCCGGCAGGGAGGAGTGCGGCCGTTGGGAGCAGCTTCCCGGAGGGGTCGTAGGTGGAGGCGGGGGAGCGGCAGCAGCCGTCTGAGAGCGGGAGAAGCACGAAGCAGGCAGGCGCGCGTCCTTTTCCCCCCTTCTCCCTCTTATCCTTCCCGCGCGAGGCTTCTTTTCCCGCGCCTGAAGCCAGCTGCGCGCGCGCTTCTGCGGGGGCGGATAATTTCGCGCGCTCGCCCGAGGCGTCCGCCTCCACGCCGCCTAGAGTGCCTGCGCGCCGCCAAATCGCCGCCTTGTGCCGCCGAGGCGCTGCGCCCGCCTACCCCCGTAGCCCAGGCGAAGCCCGTCGCCTCCCGATTAGTCGCGCCTAGGCACGCCTAAGGCGTCGCCTATTTGAACTTTGGTTTTTGTCAGAGGGTAGTCTAGCAATCACCAAGTAAAGTACGGAACTATGTCACTAATTTGCCTTCTCCAGCTAGTCTGGTGCTCTGATATCTGGATTTGTTGTCACCATAGGATATGTTGGCTTTTTTTTTTCTGTCCCAAGAATGCATCTATTGTTTGATAAGGGGTCCTCTCGCACAACTTAATATTGGCTGAGAAATGTGAGATATTGTTTGGAATATCTGTATTGAGATGATTTGTACTACAGTAAATCTGATCATTCACTCTTTGACCATGTTGAACTTAGTTCTCTTTCGGTTTATCGCAAGGTTCATGCACATGGGCATATTTCCACTTAGTATCTAGGAATGGAAAACTGGTTGGCACAGACCCATCTATAATTTATTTATTTATTTATTTATTTTTGTAATTTTTCTGAGGTAATGCTGACAGTTGAAAAATGTGTGAAAAATGTGCAAGAATCAGTGTGACTACTTGACCCTCTCTTTTTGTTTTCTGGGTTTCAGTTGAAACCATAAAAAATCATAATTTGATTCTTCTTTCCTGGGTTTGAGTTGAAATCATGAAAATGGTGCGAACTCCCAGATGTGTTTTGTTAATGGTATTAGGGTTGCATCAGGTTTGTGCTGTGCTGTTTAGCATAGGAGTTCAAGACTGCTTATCGAACCTTAGTTCAGCAGCGAGAACTACGTGAGGAACCTGTGGATTGCCTTGCATCTTTAGAAAGCCAGAAGTCATTATTTTATTCTTTATAAGTATACAAGTCTTTGGGTTTAGTATTCACCCTTGTAAGATAGTAAAGGTATTGCAGATTCCACTGGCATAGGAGTTCAAGACTGCTTATCAAACCTTAGTTCTACTGCGAGGACCAAAATGGAGTTTGTGATGTTGTTTATGTATAGTTACATGTCTTTGGTTTTAGACTTTTAGTATTCACCCTTGGAATACAGTAAAAGTATTGCAGATTTGGTAATGAGATGCAAAAAAAAAAAGGAGCATGCTAGCTGAAAGATACTAAGAAAAACATAGAGCAAGTGTGAATCAAGCATGATAGATATTAGTGTTTCTCATTCTGAACTGCAGCATTGAACATAGCCTGTTGTTTTCTGTTCTTTCTGCCCACATTATCATGAGTTCAAGAAGCAGACAAAATGCACAAGTTACAAGAGTACTCAGTAGTATTGTCTGATAGAACTTTCTCATTGCTATGACCTATGAGCATTTATCTTACTGGGACATGTCTACTTTCCGCAGGCGTCTGGCTAAGCTGGAAATGCTGAAGCGTCGTGGCAAGGGACCGCCAAAGAAGGGACAGGGAAGGCGTGCTGTCAAGAGAAGCAAATAGTCGTGCCACCAATGCTCAGCTCTGCTTCTGGCGTTTGCCTTGTTTGAATGCTGTAACGTAATGATTTGTTGGGTGACGAACTGACGATAGATGAAGAAACCCACGTTTGCTCTATCAAGTTTTATAGCTTACAACTGTTTTGCAATGAAACCGCCTTCCATGTTGGAAGAATGATAGGATGTGCTTCCAATAGAGTTCATGATCCTGACACCTAAGTGGCAGTTACAGTGTTTTGGTAAAACAATTTCAGGATGAATCAGGCGTCCTTCCGTTAAGAACTCAAGATTAGGATAACAAAAAATCCAAATCTGATTTTTTTTACAAGACAAATCTGAATTAAAGATGATCAAAACTAATCTTGGCAATCGAAGCACATGCACAGCATTGTACAACAAGGAGGACACGGATGAACTGAAGTCAAACATCGTCGGAGCATGCGTTTTCGTGGCGTGGCGTCTAGAACTCGGTGCGTACGGCGTCAATGCAACTGCCGCCATCGAACACCCCTGGGGCGGCGCCATTGCCAGCGCCACCACCGTCGCGCTTGTGAGGCACCGGAAAGCTCAGCACGCACGCGAAGTCGCTCTCCGCGCCGTCCTGCGCGGCGCGCACGGCGACCTTGACGCTGATCCACCCCTCGGCACGCTCCCGAGCGAGCGCCGCGGCCACGGCGCGAGCGCGCCGGCCAGGCGGCACGCGTTGCACGCCGGCCCACGCTACCGGTAGCGCGTTGCCTCCACCGCTGCGCTGCGTGAACCCCGGCAGCGCCACGGCGGCACCGAGCTCCTGCCCGGCGTAGAACGGCGCGGCCCTGATCCCCGTGTACCGGCGCGCGTACAGGTTCGGCGGGCCGTCGAACCGCAGCACGGCGGAGAGGTTGTACGTGACGGCTGAGGCCGCGGCGTCGAAGGCCAGGGCGCGGAGCTCGCCGGACGCGACGTAGGGGACGACGTGGTGCGGCCGGAGGAGCAGCCGCGGGATAAGGGACGGCACGAGGACGAGCACCGCCAGGAACACGACCAGAGGCGCGAGGCAAGCAGCGGCCGCGGCTGCCACTGCTGCCGCGCACTGCCGTCGCCGCTGGCTCGCTGGCGACGGCGTCTCCGCGGACATGGCTCGCAGGATGGGGACTGCAGCTGCTGGATCGTCACTCCTCAGTGTGTGATACAAGGCTCCGATCATTGCTGCGCTTAATAACCCTGGAAGCTGCTTTGGTACGCTTTTTGCTCCTAAAAGGAATGGACCACCACCATTGCTAAAGGAAAAAGGCAGTAGAGTTACCTGACGGAGAGCAAAGCATCCGATGACTCCATGATTAACCCCTTTTGCTTTCACGAATAAACTAGCATTTAACAGAAATAGAACTCAAAAGAAAGGATTACTGGATATTTTGATGAAAGTTCAATATTTTACAGGAAGATACCAAGCAAATGCCCATTAATAACAGCACGAAAAGTATATCAGGAGGGCTCTAGGGCCTCTGACGGCACAAAATCGGCAATAGAGCCTTGGTCCATATTATGCATTTGCTAACTTTGTTTGCTAAGCTTCAGATCCAGTTGGACTCCCGTGGTTGCTTAAATCATCATCGAGAGCTCTCCTCGTCGCATCCCACAGCTGAGACTCGATTCCCAGCTTCTTCAGCTCGTGGAGTCCTCTCTCAACTTTTTACATGTTTGCAGGAAAAGAAAAGGATAATCAATAATGATCTCACTGACGTCAAGCTTGAAATTCAGCTTGCCAATTCCTCTATGTTTTTATACATGATTATGGGAAAAATCAATCACAATGAATTCATTGTGACTTCAAAATTTAAATTTAGCAAGGTTCAGGTGGAGAAAACCTGCATTAAACTAAAATAATTGATTTCGAGAAAAAAAACTATGGGAATGGATGAAAATAACCTACCTTCTATTACATCGCTTGTAGTAACTGGGTGATTGCTTTGTTCTATCCAAAAATGTAGTCGCTCATCAGCTATATCTTCTTCTACGTTGTGATTTTTGGCCCGCCTCCAGAAATAGGTCAACCATGCCTGTAGTGTGTTGGAAATCAAAATAAGAGGACACTAAACATGAAGCTTACCAGATAACGAAAAGCAAAGCCATGAAGTGTTTTCACATAATATTTATTTTACATTTCTCTTTACTAACGTAGTCAAGTTTGTTAAGCACATAATGGACACTAATACAAAATTAGGAGATTAGGTTCATGATTATATATAAACTACACTAGGGCGTACCCAGTGCAGAGAGTTCCCGCTCTGTGCGGGGTCTGGGGAAGGGTGTCAGTGGCAAGCCTTACCCTCGCCTGTGCAATGCGACGAGACCGCGACTTGAACCCGGGACCTTCCAGTCACAGGCGGTAAGACTCTACCGCTTGCACCAGGCCCGCCCTTCTACATATAAACTGCACTAGCAATCCTTAAACTTGTACCATGGTGTCATTCATGTCCCTAAACTCTTAATATTGCAGATCACAGTCTGGCCACTCAAGGTTCAAATCCCCCTATCAGCATGTGATTAGACGGACATCTCTCTTAGCCAAGAGTACCACATAAACAAACACATGCTGATTTGGACCTAGAGTGACAAGGTATTTAAGAGTTTAGTTATCTTGATGATACCACAGAATAAGTTTATCGTTTGTTAGTGTATTTCATTCTATATTATTAACAATGGAACAAAAAAGAATATTAATGCTGGCCAGAGCGAAATAAAATTTGAGTAACATAACATAATCTGTTACCTGCTTGAAGCGTACATCTTCTCGCTCTTCCGCACTTAACTCTAGGACCAGGAAATATGTCAGACACATAATTAGGAAAGTGAATTGACATTGTGTTCGTCAAAGGTCATGGATACAAAAGTACTGACAGAGCAACTAACCTAATGACTCAGAAGGGCTCCGACCCTCAGAAGCTTGGCCTGTAATGGACGTTCAATCCTTATCAAAAGGTAAAATTATTCATCCAATGACATTAATTCATACAATAACACTTTTTACAGGCGAATTATGCATAATATTTCTCGGAAGTGGCTCAACATTGTGCAAGTTAAGCTACATGCTACACATGCAAATATTATCATCATCACAATGAGTTAAGATCTATTCCCTACTATGTTCTTGTTATAGTGAATAAGAGAAATCAAGATCATTACTTTTATGGTTTATCTTCGTTAACGAAAAGAACCAGTTATGGCTATCTATTGGTGGTCCAGGGAAATATTGTACATAAAATATTAGTAAGATGAAAGTATAAGAAATGAGTACATTTTCGAAAAGCCACCTGAGAGAGGTTTGATATGTCGATTTTCAGCCAAAGTAAGCATGATTGCATCCTCTACCTTCAAAGGAAATATGAAGTTATTATTACAGCACTATGAATAAAAGCAGACGAGTCGCGGTCTCCTCGCATTGCACAGGCGAGGGTAAGGCTTGCCACTGACACCCTTCCCCAGACCCCGCACAGAGCGGGAGCTCTGCACTCGGTACGCCCTATGAATAAAAGCAAAAATATAGTAATGCCATTTTTCTGAGAATATGCAAAAGCTAACTCAATCTCATATATGTTGCATTTGCTATATACTTTACAGAGATGAACCAGTCACTCTAGTAGCAGTAGGATTCTGAAGTTGGATAATCCACTTTTCCATATTACCTGGTGTGGCACAGCAAAATCCAAAATATTCTGAACAATTAACTAGAATAGAACTGTATGAGACGTGGCAGGCAATAGGTTTCACATTCTAGGAAATCATGTACATCAATTAATACACGAAAGCGGATTTTAAACAGTGTGAATCATGTCTCTGAGTTAAATTGATCATGCTGACATGCAGTTGAAACTTTCAAGTTTGAGAAAAACCTTGAGTGAAGCCAATTCACGCAATCCTTTCTCAACTGAAAGCATGGTCTCAATATTGCCATCACTAGATATATCGTTTACATCAGACATTTTGCTTCTGCTCTCCATGTCAGCATTATCTGTCACCACATGAACTATGAGAAAAGAACAGGGTTATGTGACTAAGGTCATGCATGAAATCTGATACACTTAGTAATCCTTCATCATCCGAGACTATTTTAAAAGCAGTAAAACTACTAACATTAGCCCTTCAGATGAGATTTTTTTAGTACACATAGCAAAAGGCTCCTTTTACACTGCACAGTACAAATGTAAAGTGCAAATAAATCCTATTTTACAGCCAGAAGATGCGAATAGAGAGTCAAATCTGAGCAACTCAATTGAAGTTTCCAAATTTCTAGCATGTAGAAATTGGCCACGTGGTTACATTTTGTTACAATCAAATCACTGCATAGAATAAGAATACTACTGAAGGTTTTTCATTTGTTACTTGTCAAATTGTGTCATGACCTGTGGGGAATCTGGGTCTCATCTCCATGATTAGCCAATAGAGATAATTTAGTACTTGCATAGTAAGTGGAACATATTATTCTTGTATCAACAGCTTCATAGAAGTAAAATATCAAAACAAGAAGAATTAAAGATAGCTTTTGATAACCTGATAAAGTTCCATCTCTTGCCTTTTGCCCAATTGATAGGACTGCTTCAAGTGCACGCGGTGCAAATGAGGACCAGTATTCTTTTTTTTCTTCAGCAATATCAGAATGTATCCCTGGGGAGGGGGTGCTCACCATTAGCCAAAACCAGACACTATATAACAATTTATATATTAAAAAATCGTCTGTTTGCTTATTGACAAGACACATTTTTTTCATGGAACATACAAAATTGGAAATCGACATTGATCTTTTTAGGGGAAATATTGTGTGAATTTATTATGAAAAAGAACAAAAGAGAGATTACAAGTTCAAACTTTATGAATAACCAGACAGCACTAGTGTTTAAACGCAAACTAAGTTAAACAGTAGCAAAAAAAAGTGTGGTGTGAACACGAAAGGACAAACAGGGTTGGATAATTATGCATCCTAGCCCATGGTCCTAAGGTTGAGCTAGCAGTTACAGATTACAATGGTTACTAGTTGCTGTTCCAATATGTTAATTCAAGAACACACAATTCGGCCTGTTCGCTGGTTGGTTTCTGGGCTGATAAGCCCGGCTGGTGCTGGTTTGTTGTGAGAGGAAAACACTGTTGGCTGGCTGATAAGCCCTGACTGAAACCAACAAGCGAACAGGCTGAATATTTGAAACATTATTTAGGCAACTGGGAATACTCCCTCATCGTAAAGGAGTACAAACTGTGCAAAAGTGATCTTGGTACCAAGTTTAGAACATAATGTCCAGTAGCGGGCCAGCCAACATCTCTTTAGCACCACCTCCTCCTGATTAAGGAATTTCATGAAAAATTACAATGATAAGCCACAGACAAAAAGTGCTCATATTGTGATTATGTAACCAACGTACACACCAGCTCTTCCTGTGACAGCATCATTCTGTTGGCTGTTGCCTGAAGAGATCTCAGTTCTGATCTAGCACTTTTCAGTCTCCGAGATACAGATGTAACCAAATTACTAGTAACCTATCACAAATTGCAAAATATGACTCTGGAAAATTCGTTCAGCAATGGATAACCAGATTCATGGAAAAATCCAATACACCTTTGCTTCTGACTTAAGGGTTGCAATCTCATTACAGCTTGCACTGCTGGACCTTCGCGAAGCAATTCGCATAGCAATCTAAGAGCAAAACTGGCATCAAGCTCGAACAAAACTAGTATGCAAAAATTGATCACAAATAACTGTATAGTGCACACAGTAATAATCAAAAGTGACTCAAACAAAAGCAAACTTCTCTCTCTAGTGCTCCCTCAAAACTTTGAGCAGGAGAAGCTTTCTATGGGAACATACCTTTCTTTGTTCTAGTGCTGCGTCTTTCCTGAGAGCCAAATTGAAAATATGGCTTAAAATACAAAGCAGGCATCGACAATAAGTAGCATATTTTTAGTAACTGCCATACCTGCTAATCAAAATTGGCTCTGTTTCTACTGCATCACCAATATCAGAATCCTGAAGTCCGGAAATAAATATGGTAAATGCAAAACATGAAAATTTCCACATGGTATCCAAACAAATCATACTAGCATACATCCAGTTGTCAAGTTAAAAACTAAAAAATAGGACAGTCAATCAAGTAATATCAGAAGCAAAGATTTAGTCAGCATTTTATCACAGAAAAGACCTCTCTCTCCATGTGCATGGATTTGGCATCTCCATCATCAGACCTTTCTTCTGCAAGCTGAAGATGGGAAGATGCAGGTAAGATAAAAACAAGGTTGATTGCTTCCAACATGTTAAACTATAAAAGAAAATAGAATCATGATATCTCACTTTGTCATACATGCTTTCATTTTCCACTTGAAGTGTGTTAATCTGCAAAGCATGGACATAAAAAATTAAGAACCACAGCTGCACACCAGAATAAAAGAAAAACTAATTTAGGCAAATGATTGACAGCTGTTTTGACAGTGTCCATAACATTGGTTAGACAAGAATTGTAGCATGGAGGAGAGATAACTCATATTGAAGGTTAACCCCGCAAGCAGTAAACAGAATGTTACATAGATCGTAGCATTAAGATTCTATATAAAACTTGAATTCATGAAAGAAATTACCTCATCATTAAGAGAAGAAGATGTACGACGAGCTCTCAATGAGCTTCCAAGATCAACTGATCTCCTAAGAATGATGTAGCCTATATTACTTAACAAGTGATCATTGAGAACCAAGAATGCAAAGGCAGCAAGTATCAAAAGGTTCTTTTAAACAAAAAACAAATACTTACATAACTAACACCGATAGATAGAATAATTTTCTAAAAAATGTCTTAAGTCAAGTGTAATTCAATCAATGAGTGTTATTCAGTAATGTGGCATGTCAGTTGCAAAGGTTTGTACTTCTATTATCCTTAATATAATGATACACAGCTTTCCTATGCATTCGAAAAAAAAGTTGCAAAGGTATGCTTGCTATTTGCTAATTGTTCTAGACAAATGCTGTCTCAGAAAACCCCAGTTTTGGAGTTTCAGTTATCCAATGAAGACTTATCCTATTTACAAATGCTCAAATGATTAGTTCATATTAAACGTGGTGGTGCATTTGAATCCACCATATTATTGGACCTTTTGGTAAGTTTCAGAAGCAAGCAATGCCACATAAGCAGAATCATGATTTGCGACTTCTGTTGCAATGCTCATGGTAATATGGCACCAACATCTCAAATTTAGCATCAAGTTACTCCACTATCAAAGTTGCAGCATCACTAATAACTAGCTGAAGAATTAACACACAATTCTACTGCTTTGATATTTATTTAGCACAGTTTCTGCGTCTGGGAAACTAGAACACGCTGCATAGATAGTGTGTTATGTATGGCAGGACCTAAAGCCAGCACAACAAGAAGCCTATCGCGGCCTAAAATTTCGACTTCAGTTATCTTCAGTATTTTAGGTGATTATTACTTTGGAGTTTGCTTTGGATTTGGATTAGGCAATCCAGGTATATAGGCTTATTAGTTTAGCAAAACTAATAGGTGTTTCGGAAGGAGAACAGTCGGTGTTATATAAACCAAACTGATGTATTCCTAGTCCTCAAAGCCAGCAATGAGAACAAATATTCTTCCTATCTTCCTCTCTACCTCTCTCTCAAGTCCACCATAGCTCCAGCGAGGTGAGGCGAACAGACTCAGCCGACCGTCAGTCGCCACTATCAACTCCACAGTCTTTGATCCACATCCACCATGCCACAACATAGTGCTTGGAAGATAAGTCGTAGCCTCAAAGCAAACTAGCAACCAAAAAACACGGGGAAACTAATCATCTGCCTCAAGCGCAGACATGGAATCCAGATAAAAACACGGAGATAGCAGAACTTTTGGATAACTGGAAAAACTCCACAGGCCCACAGTGAAGATGCTGGGAAAATGTATTAACGTATTGCACCACGAAATCTGTCTTCTGTCATGCATGGGGGCACACAATAATTAATACTTGAGAGCAGGACAGTCCTTACCTCTGCTCCCTTCGGTTCGGCATGGGCGACTCTGAACCAGCCCCGGCCCCCGCACCGCTGGTCGCCGGCCGCTTGATCGACGGGATCATGGGGACCGACTTCCCAGCCGTGTAGCGGTTGGTCAGCGACGGCGGCCGGCCCACCTGCGTCTGATCCGCAAGGTAACGGCCTATCTAAAATGCACAGAATTGCACGCCACCACTTAGCACATCGCACAGGCCGTATTGAGAATCGAGGAGCATTGCAGAGTATGCACTACAAAATCACATGCAGAGCCAAATGCCACCGCATGGACACGATGGTTACCGAGGGGGAAGGGCATCGGGTGGAGGTGCGGCGCGGGGTGTTGGAGAGCTCGATGGGGGGACCAGAAAGCTCGTAGTCGTCGTCGTCGTCGCTCCCGCTGCCGGCATCCCCACCCGCTCCGCCGCCCATGACCCGCGCGAGGCGCTGCGCGGCGGCGCGCGCGGCGCTGTTCTGCGCGCGGGCGCCGGCGCCGGCGCCGACCCCCGCGCGGCGGCCCGCGGTGGAGGCCGCGCCGGCGCCGCCGAGGGACCCCGCCCGCGCGTGGCGGTGGACTGGGGACAGCTCCTTCGGGGATCCGCCGGGCGACGTCTGCGCGCTGCCACCGCCGGCCTGGTGGTGATGCGACGCCGCCTGCGCGTAGAGGCCCCGCCGCGACGCGTACCCCAGCCCGCCGCCGCCCGGGCTCGCCGGCCGCGACAAGCGATCCATGGGAGTGTGAGGGGGATTCGGTGGACGGATTCGGTGGGGGAGGAGGAGGAAGAAGGGGAGAGATGAGCGGGCGCGCGGTTCGCTGGTTCGTCCGCTCCGAAGGCAGGGGAGGGGGCGAGGCGAGGCGGGGGTGTAACGGTCTCGTCTCTCGAGACTCGAAATGGTTGTGGTCAGGGGGACCGAGGATCTTCTGCGGCGTCTGTGCGCAGCCACCTCCGGGGTGCAATGTTTTCCCTTTTTGATTTTCTTTCCCTTCTTTTTTTCGTAAATGATTCCTCTAGCGCGTCCGTCTGTCCGCACGCTGGCTTCTCCGGCCTGCATACGTTCCTGTTGATAGGCCACGACGCCCAACGGCTCAACACTCATATCCGCTCGTCCACTCGCTCCAATCATATCCGCTCGTCTAGTTCGCAGCGCCGCGACCGTGCCGTGACTGCCTGCGTTCTCTAAGGCGTCTAGGTGCCCGCTAGCCATCCCGCTTGCTTTTTATGTCATCACCGTCGTCACATTGCCCCCACCTCACCCTCTATGCGCCGCCACCCAGCTCCACGACTGGGCTCCACAGCGACCGTGCTCTCTCGGTGTTCGGGCACCCACTGGTCATCCCACCCACCCTCTACTCGTCCGTCGTGCCGCCCCACCTTGCCCTGTGTGCGCTGTCACCCAGCTCCGTGTTGCTGGTGAGCTCTACACCGGTGAACTCCACATGCTGACGCCCAAGCAGCAAGGTGATGTTGCGCTGAAAGCATATGTTGCAAACATATGTTTTGAGTGTTTCAGGTGTTTTTAGATGTATATTGCATGTGTTTCATATGGATGTTGTAAAAATAGATCTAGATGGTGCATATGTTGCAATACCTATACACGTATGTTTCAAAGTGTATGTTCTAAATATTTCATTTGTTTTAGACGCATATATTGCAAGTGTTTCATTTGTGTGTTGCAAAATGAGATCTGGATGTTGCATTCTGCAATGGTTTCACACGTATATTGCAAGTATATGTTCCAAATATTTCATCTATTTCAGGCGTATGTTGCAAGTGTTTTATCTGGGTGTTGTAAAAGTAGATCTGGATGTTGCATATGTTGCAATGGCTATGTTGCAAGTGTATGTCCCAAATATTTCATCTGTTTCAGACGTATGTTGCAAGTGTTGCATCTAGGTATTACAAAAGTAGATCTAGATGTTGCATATGTTGCAATGGCTATATTGCAAGTGTATGCTCCAAAATGTTTCATCTATTTCAGACGTATGTTGCAATTGTTTCATCTGTGTGTTGCAAAAGGAGATCTAGATGTAGGCATGGAGCAAGCCCAAGCCCTCAGTAGTCGTGTTGCTGCCCGAGCAGTGTCGTGACAGCTACTGGTCTGCCATGACGGACGACCATAGAAAGCGGGTGAAGGGGACCTCCAGCGATGACGGTGGGTCACCAGCAGGTAGAGGTTGGACTCCCACAGGGGCGTGAGAGGCACGGTAGACGCCTCGGTGAGGCCCGTGGACACTGAGAAGGTTGGCTGTTGCGGCTCCCTAGCGTATGGGCCAATGGCAAAGATAGAGGTTGTGGACATGGGAGCGGTGGGGACGGGATGCCGTGGGTGATGCGGGCACGGCGGGGATGTGAAAGTGCAATCAAGCCCTAATTGTGGATTTTGGTGATAGTGACCACGCAATTAGAGAACTAATGAGATTTATCGAGATGACAAGCAGTGAATCTATATTCGAGGATGTTGCACGAAATGAAGGAGCCCCCAATTACAAATGTTGATGGCTTCAAACTTAAAGTAGGTTTAAATTCCTTTATATTTAGAATTTGAGTATAAGAAAAGCCGTACTATAAAGGGGGACACAATGCTTAAGCTAACATGTGCTACCAGGTGCTCAATGTTACACATACATCTTCAGTTATTCAGCCAAGACAGTCAACACTTCACTCTTACCGTTGCTGTCTTGCCTGGTGCGGCAGTGCCGCACTTGGAGAGAGGCGACACTTGAGCCATGGCACTGCCGTGACTTAAGTGACCGTTGGGGCTGGGGGTACTTATACCTTTTCCCTTCCTCCCCAACATCTCTCTTCTCTCTCCCACTCATTCAGCTCATCCAAGAACAGAAGAGTACCCTTCTCTCTCTTCTCCATTGGTGACCTTGAGCTCCCAAGCATTCTCCATTGATTTCCCCATCCATCCTTGAGAGAAAAAGGTTCCAAACTTAATTAGAGAGCAGATCTTTTGATTCCCCAATTCAAAAGAGCACTTGGTTCATATTGTTGTGGCATAACCGCCTAATCTATTGCCTCCTAGGAGTGCTTGTCTTCCATTAGACACTAAACACTCAAGAAAGAACACTAAATTACACGGTCCCATCGAGCACACCCCAAAGGAGAACCCGAAAATCCACATTTTTTTATCAGGATCACAAATGAGAGAATAAAGCTTATAATATTCTTAAACCATTTCTTACATTACTTTTAATACAACATCAGAGTATAATATTTATTATTTATAATAGCGGAACATGAACATGTTATCAGAGTTATGAATAATTTAAATTAACAACGAAATATAAAAATGTGATCAGAATTACAGCGGAAATAAATAGCTATTAAAGGCATGATGAAGCATTGATAAATAACTAGGACAACATATTATAAAACTTTCATTTATAAAAAATATTTAGTAAGAGTTATAAATAAAAACTATGATCGCAGCGTAAAGGAATCCTCTCTGAGCCCACTAGGAGGAATCCACATACAAGGGTCAGCTCTAGCATCCACTTGTCACCTGCAACAGGGGGAAATAAAACCCTGAGTACTCAATTGTACTCAGCAAAACTTACCCGACAGGAGGAAAGAAAAGACTCCAAGGATATACAAGGCTATCTGGCTTGTGGGTTTATTGCATATGCAGAAAGCATTACTAAGCATGCGTCCTTATATTCAATTTTTATTAGCAGTCGCATTAGTTCTTTAACTAACCATTATATGTAAGCACATGTGCTACTTTCAAGCAGGTGGTAAGCAATCAAATTTCTATTTCTTCACCTTTCCTCTTTCAGTTCTTACTATGGTGCTAGGCTGTAGACAAGCCGTATCGGATCGCCCGACGATTCACGAATCAATGCCCTCGGCTGGGTACCCCAAAAACACACGCCCCGCTTGTACCTCAGACACAAGCAGGAACAACCCACTACCCTCCTATCATGGGGTCCAGGTCCCCGTCCAAACTGGGACTCAAAGCCTCTGCCCCTGAGTCCCAGACTTAGTGTGGTGCAAGGACCTTCTACCCAAAAATCATCCTAACAGTCGGTCTGAAAAGAGCCAGAACCCATAACAAGAGAGTAACAAGTCTTCCAAGACCCCATACCCAAGTATGTGCTCGGGATAATAAGTCTGTGACTTACCTAGAGTCCAATGCAATGGCCGGTCTTTAACCGACACAAACAGGGAAAACAGTGTAACCAAGCTATGTCCCGTTGGCCGCAGGACACAACCTCTTACACCCACCAATACCCAAACCATATCCCTACTCGGTCACCATTTTTTCTTTCCACCATTTATATTTTCCAAGTGATAATAATACAGTAATATATTTTCTATATCTCGCTAGTGATAGGCAATCACTCGATTTCTACCGGAGTCCTGTAGCATAGCAATCTACATGATTCTATCATACTAGTAAGACTCATAGGATAAAGATTTATATATGCAAGTGGGTTTCATTCAACTCCTTAAAACTTAATGCACAAACATAATTTAAAGTGCAGAAAAGTAGGGGTTATGCACCGGGGCTTGCCTAGGTAAGATTTAATCAGAAGTTAACTTTCCATCTTGGCGACACGATCTCCAAAAGTACCATTTCTTCAGCAACTCCCGATGACTCTGCGATCCATCGACGTACCTATTATGATATGCAATGCGATGCAATGCAAAGACGTAATTAATTGACTGCAACCGTGACTCGTAAAATACGATTTACGCCTCTCAAGTTAACGAGCTAGTTTTAACGACGACCGTACTTAGGCTACATATCCATGCTATCGAATAAGGCATTGTTTCCTAATAAATGTTTTAGTTATACAATCCCAAGGTGTTTCTTTATTCTATTCTATTGATTTAATCTTTATTCAAAATAGGGCATCATTACCTATCTAGCAAACTAATTATTCTGGAGCTACAAAAATTACAGTGAGCAACTAATAATATTAGGAATCTACTGTAAATTTTTTAGAATCAACCATATCACCGATTTATCACAGAAAATTCCCACAAGTTTATGTCTTAACGATATTACGTATCTCAAATTAATTATATAGCTTCCAAGAATATTATCAAACTATGTGAACAAAATATACTAGTAGATAGATCATGATTTTAGAAACTTAACAAAATTGGTTTCACCATTTTTGGATAACTACACAAATTTATATTGATTTTATAAGTTAAACTAGAAACCTATATTAGAAAAGCATTTAGATAACGGAAAGGGCTGGCGGTAACCCCCTTTCGGCCCAGCAGCCCGCGGTAACGGCGCGGCAGCCAGGGGCTCAACGCACACACGCGGCCTAGCGGCACCAGTCTGACCCAGGCGGGGCGGCACAAGTCTGGCCCAGTGTGCGGCGCAAGTGGCCTAGCCATGGTGGCCATAGACCGGCCTGGCGATTTTGCAAAAACAACCCTGCATTTACCTTAAACTGATCCACAGTCCAATATACACTGTTTATGTGAGTCACGTTAACGCACCTAGAACCCACGAAAAGCTTCTAATTACACGTTCTCACCTTCCTTCCTTCCCCAGAAGCAGAGCACGGAGTAGAGGAGGTATGGACGGTGGTCAATCCCGGCCGAGGAAGGCACAGCAGTGGTGGAAACCCGCCGGTGAGGGGCACGGGAGCCCTCACGACCAAGGGTTGGCTGCGGCAAGACCTGAGCCAGCCCCCGGCAGCCTACCCGTGCGAGTCGTGGTGGCGCGGGGCCAGACGGACGATGGCAACGGCGCTGTGGCGG